CTTCTAAAATAAACAAATTTAGCTTTTGCTGCATTCACCTTCTCTACAGCAATGTCCCCCACAGACATCATCAGTCCTCTTCTGCTGAGCACAGGTCATCATAGACATAGACCCTGGGGGAAAGGGAGGAGTGTGTCATCAGTCTGGCCTAGGCTGCTGGCCTGGGCTGCTAAGAATGCTGTAGAGAATGGTATTCAATCGTAGTAAAAGTCTGGTAAACCGCAAGCTTTCCTATTGCCGCATATAAATGTGATGAGGTGGCAATAATTTTTGAATGGCACCCTAACACTGTTGCAGTGCCAGGCAATGCACCTGCACTGCAGGGCATCATCACGCACACACCATTCATTAAAAAAAAGTGGTGAGGTGCATTTTTTACTGTGGCTCTTCAGTATTTTTTTGCCACAGATTCAAATTTAATATGGTTGAATTTAATTTAAGGTGCACTGCCTGCCCAATGAAAATCAATAGATTGCCTAAAAGCCCAACTCTGGGCAGCAGAAATAATTTCACCCTTACAGAAAGTAAACTGCAAGGGCTAAATGCTTGTTTAGTCTTGTGGGTGATGACAAACATTGCCACATACAAAAATATAGCCTACAATACGGCCATACTTTCTCTGCTGGGAGTGACAGCTGCAGCATGCACCCGCCGCCAATCAACCTGGATAAATCAATGTCAGAGAGCCAAGTCTGAGTGGCTACAGCCATACAGGGCCATATGCGTCTCCCCAAACACAGACCGTCTACGTTCAAGGAGATGCCTACAGCTCTGTACACATGTATATACAGTATGCATGCAGCTGCCTCCTCCCGTCTGTGTTTACTGCCATCTGCACAAGCCCTTAGACATAGATAGTATCTGCAAATGTCTACTATGGACATTCAGGTATTCATATAAATATGCTAAGCGTGTTATATGCTATGCTGCTTAGGAGCATATCCATTCTTCATTACATTTTAACATCTGATCATCACAATTTAGTAAGCGATCCCGCTTGTTCACTGTATCTTACCATTGGATCTAATCTTTTTCTGATTTAACATCCTTGCAACTAGCATTTTTAAAAAAAAACATCAATGGCAGCCTCCATACTTTTCTCATGACAAGGTCACTTTAAATACAGTTTTCCTACCTTTAATTTTAATATACAAGACCCAGTGCAGCCGATTAAACAAGAAAATAAGCAAGAATGTATATTTAATCACAGATTGGCCTGTAGTAACCAGAATTATAATTGGTTACTAAGGTTAACACATTTCCTACATCATAAATACTATGTGCACTACTACACTTTAATTCTGTTTCATTCCTAAAGTGTTAGTTACAATTGGTTCAGCAAACAAGATGGCTGCCTACACCATATATAGGCGACATATACACTCTTTCGAACCCATAAAGCACTCCTCAGTGTCACATCATACTGTATCAAAAGTGCATTGAAAATGTCACTTTTCCCACTGGGAAAATTCAAATCAGACCTGGAAACTGCAATATATATCTGTCAGTGCAAACAATATTCATTGTTCCAATGTGGTCAGCATTTTTCTAGATCTTGCTTAACTTTCTTAGTGCTGCCATTTATTTTTCAAAAGCTGGAAGTAAATTCACTTCCATATTTACAGAAAGGTGCATGCATGAGCGGTCATATTAGATGACATCGGGGAATAGATGAAATTTCGACCATTAGACCTCCCCTAGGAAAGTGCTAAAAAATAATTTTTTTTGCTAAATACTCAAAATGTATCACAGTAGTATCTAAGAGAATTTTGCTAAGCATGACAGCCTTATTACATATTTTATTCACACTATATTAAATGTTTAGGCATTGGTGGAGCAAACCAAAATATCTTCACATTCCTAACAGTAGCGGTTACTAAAATTAGTTTTAAATAGCGAATGTACCGTACCATCAAACATTGCTACACTGAAGAGGGATTGTTGCCTGAACTGCCTCCTGAAATCAATGCGTCCGCGAGTGTTGAACTGCTGGGCCTCCGCCACAGCAATGGTTCAGACCTTGAAATCACTAGTGTCCTGTGGTGAAGTTTTTAGAAGTGTCAGTTACAGAAGAAACCTCAGGCAGCAATTCCTCTTCACGGCACGAAGCATGGCAATGCAGAGTAATTATGTACTCTTTTCTTTACAGGAACATTTGATATTAACAATGTGACAGGGTTGTTTTAAACATTGCTATGCTCCTAGTAAACCCATCACAAGCATCAGCAATTAAACTGAGCATCAAATGAAAAAATTATAGTCAAAAGATTACTATTAGCTAAAAGCTAAATGATCAGAAGATCCAGAAGTGCAGGTACCTGAATATATGTACAATTGTCCTGTAAATTCTGGGTTTTACACCTCCCACCCCACTGCTCAGAGAAGTCAACCATTACTAGGATGGGCAAGAGAAAGGTTTGGAAAGCAGGAATAGGCCCAAGGTCAACTTTTACTGAAGAGCTAAGATAAAGTCTGTTTTTTTAGATCTATGATCATAGGGTTTTCACTGAAGGTATCCTCTGCGTCTGCACTTTGCTCAGTTTGATCTTTAAAGGACCAGTAAACCTAAAATACAACCTACCTTTATGTAAAATACCATGTGTGTAACCATGAACTTCAGTCTTGCTGAAAGCTGATGGCAACAGTAATGAGGTGATGGTACAATGTAATTTTATATGCAGTTAGTTTAGTGGAGTTGTTTAGTTGCAACCTCTGAGGACAGACATATGGGAGCTGCCTTGTTTGTAAGTGTGCAGGCTTTGGGCTGTTATTTTGGCTTTACTACCTAAAAAGTGAGCCATTTGGAGGAAGTACACAGGATGGGAGTTCAGACTTTCCTACCTTCATGCAAGTTTCAGGTCAGTGATTCACTGGGTAGCAGAGCTAGGATTAGGATGCCAACTCTGCAGTTCGCACCTTTGAAAATGAAGTACGCAGTTGCAGCCCCCATATTATTATCCTCACAGATTTACTTTAAGATATTTAAAATACATTTACATTTGCTAAGGGGTATCTATAATAACAAAGGGAAAATTAGGCATGTGCCCATTGAAACAAACTCCTCCATATGGTCTTTTTTTTATAAAAATAAGAGCTGGAATTTGATTGATTGCTAAAGACAACACTTTCATTGTTCCCCACTACGAGCTATTCCCCCTGCCCTCCCACAACTCGATTCTCTGTGCCTGACAGGCTAATCGTGAGGTTTAAGCATGGTCAAGCAGGGGCGGGACCTAATGCCTACCAGTGTGACCTCACAACAAAGTTCAAATCCCATTCGCACTGCCACGGTCTCAAAACCACAAGGTATATGTGGTGCCCAGGTGACCACACGGATGGCGCCGTGCAAAACACTAATAGCAAATAAAAGTAAATCACCGGCACACACTTGAAGGGTTTTTAAAGAATTGATGTTTATTCAATACCCAATGTCACATACTGTCATACGGTGCTAAAGTTTCGGGTCCGCACAGGGATCCTTCATCAGAGCGTCACTGTCGCTGTGATGAAGGATCCCTGTGCGGACCCGAAACGTTAGCACCGTATAACTGTATGTGACATTGGGTATTGAATAAACATATCAATACTTTAAAAATCCTTCAAGTGTGTGCCGGTGATTACTTTTATTTACCAGTGTGACCTGACATTTTGATAAAGCAGTGATTCGGTCATTCACTGCAGGTGAATCTTCCAGGTGCATGTGTTTTAAATAAGTGATTCATCACCAGTGAATTTTTTTATGAAAGTCACATTTACTGCTTTATAAACAAGCCCCTTAGTGTATGGTTTGTATTTGTGTTGAACTGCAATGGAGATCAAGATTGCAGGCCATGGATTAGTAAAGGTAAGTTAAGGCCTAAGATCATTTTTTGTTAAAGATCTCTATTATGACACTTTAAGATAAGAGCAGTCATTCCTAATTATCTGGATTACTGCATTCATGCCCGATTTTAAAGAAGCACAAAGACTACATAAACTTTTTTTCTTTTGATTCTTGCTGTTCCAGAATTGAAAGGTAAAGATGTAAATGTATGCCTGAACCCAAGAACAAACATGTAATATATTGCAGCTTACCAGTGGCAGCATTTGTTTTATACATTTTCTGCAAGTACAGAAAAATCCTGATAGAAATCCAGTATCCTTGTTGCCTGTGTACTGAACTGAACTCTCAAAGAATGTGATCGGCTTTCCAAGCTATTACACAACCCCTCCTCCTTATGTATTAGCGATGAGTAAAGAGGGAGATGTGTGTAATCCTGCCATGGGGTGACAACATGCTCCTATAGTACAGTGAGACAGAAAGTGTGTTAAAAGAGAACTATAGCCAAACCTTTTTTGGCTATAGTTCTTTTGGGTCACAGGAGTACATTTATTATTGTACTTCTGTAACCCCAAACTCAGCATACAGCGGGCTACTGCCTGCTATATACTGACAGCGCAGAGCCATGCTGAAGTAGGGAAAGATCCCGACCTCTAGAGTTACAGCCAGCTGTGCCCATCACCTCCTCTTCTTTGTCCCTCCAATAAGCACTGGAGGAACGGAGAGAGGAATCCATGCAGGGAGTGGTGATTGACAGTCACGGCTCTCTGCAGGAAGAAGCCGTAAGCGGAACGATCAGCGGTTTGTGATCACTCAGTTCTCGAGCTATAGAGCCAGCATGTGACAGCTGTAGTGTCACATGTTGGTTCGAATTATTGGGAAGAGTACATTTTACTTTCCCAATACTTCTCCTTTAAAAGCTGGATGGCAGGATAAAAAAGGAAAACAAAGCTTAAAAAAATGAAAACTAATGCAGCCACCACATCTAAGGACTGGTAAACGGAAATATATTAAATTTTTCTGTTTGGGTTTAGATATGCTTTAAGTTTTAAATTTACTGGCTCTTTATAATGAAAATGTTCTGTGCTTCTAAAAAAGAAACTGATAATGTTGTGATACAAATGATACCATAACAAAGATGCCCTAATTTCAATATCTGTAGCTGATAAGATTTCTCAATAAAGCAAGTAACTTGTAGAACAGATACTGCTGTCATTCTGAAAAGCTACATTAAAATGTATGGACAAGCTGTACTTTTGGTGCAGCCTGGACAATCCGAATAAATGGCAATACATGCTGTAATCCCTGAACAGAATTCTTTTGGACTAGCTGGATTGTCTGAATGTTCTGGTTTCCAGCGGTTTGTATATTCTGGAGACCCTGAATCTTTTGAACAGTTTGTAGGCCATGACTAGTTGGTATGGCCCTCAGCTGCACATTTTGTGGAAGCTGGACAGTGTTGTGGCTCTGAATGCTAGGTAACAATTGAAGGTGATTCTGGCCAGTCTGCAAACCTTGGATATTTTCAACCAAGTGCAGATTCTGATCATTTTGGAAGTTATCTACTACTTGCAGAGTCTGTTCTCCTTGAGAACTCTGGATAATAAAGACCTTTTGACATTCTGGAGCAATGTTGGCAGGTTCTTGTATATTAGACATGGTTTGAATTTGGACATTAGAAACATCTTGTAGGCCCTGAATATTTTCCACTCCTTGCACACACAATCGTGTCTGCTCTCCATCAGCATTTTGCAAGACAAGGACATTCTGCAAACCTTCTTCTGTCTGAAGGGTTTCAAAGTGGACATCCTGAACTTCCTCCATTGATTGCAAGTTTTCTACGGTCTCCGTAGAGCTTAAGAGTTCCTCTCCTGGAGAATTCTGCACAACAATCAAGTTTTGACTTTCCTGCAAACTAGAGACATTCTGCGGCTCTGGAAGTGCTTGTATGTGAATATCTGAAAGATGAGATGCGTTTGGACTTGTCTGAAGGTGCACATTTGATAGTTCTTGATGGATATGGACATTAGCAATATTTTGAGAGTTTGATACAGTTTGCATACCGGGCATGTCTTCTGGTTTCAGTCGAATGTTTGACACTTCCTGAGCACCAGACAAACTCTGAATAGTTATGTCTTGTGTACTGGGTAATTGTTGGATTTGTATATTTGCAGTCTTCGGTGCGGATGGAATAGCATTAATTTGCATTGTTGGGAACTGCAGATGACTCTGATCGGTCACATTCTGTAAGAAAATAATATTTTGACCCACAGGAAGTGTCTGAGCTCGGGGAAAGCTTTGAATAGTCTGTATTTGAAGAGGCTGCATGTTAGGAACCGTTTGGCTTGTGTTGGGCATAATAAGAATGTTTTTGTTAGGACTAGTAAAATTACCAACAGTATTCAAAGTTTTTTGCTTGGGCTTCTTTCGCAAAGCCTTACTCTGTGGAGATTTTTGACGTGCATTGCTTTGTACTGTAACTAAATTGGAAGTACTGGGTGCGACAGGAAACTTCTGCTGAGGCTGCAATACTTGCGAAGAAGGCACAAGTATAAACTTATGAGTGTTTTGTTGTGGCACTTGTACCAGGAAAAAAGTCTGTGAATTTAAGGTACTTGGTTGGTTGCAGACTTCAACATTTAGCATGGTTGGCATGTCGGGCAAATATTGAACTTTATGAGTAGCAGGCACAGCTTGCCCGTTTTGGGTAGCTAGTGTAGTTAGTGCGGCCGAGTCGCCATTTCCGCCACTGTTTACAGAATGGGTGCGCAGATGTCTCTGAAGATAAGAAGACATGACAAAACCTTTGCCACAAATTGTGCACCTGTAAGGTCGGTCGCTGGAGTGTGTGCGTTGATGTAACTGCAAATTTGAAGAGTGTGTGAATGTTTTGTCACATTTTTCACATTTATAAGGCTTTTCTCCTGTGTGGGTCCTTTCATGCTGACGTAGATTAGAAGTCTGAGTGAAGGTCTTGCCACACATAACACAGGCAAATGGCCGTTCCCCTGTGTGAAGCTGCCTGTGGCGACGTAGGCAAGAAGTATTTTTGAAGGACTTTCCACATTCTGTACAAATGTAAGGCCTTTCCCCTGTATGAAGCCGTAAATGGTACTGATAATGTGAGGACCATTTAAATGTAAGGCCACACTCAGCACACTTGAATGCTCTGACACCTGTGTGAACCCGTTGGTGTATAGACAAAAGGGAAGAGCGCTTAAAAGCTTTTCCACATTCTGAACACTTGTAAGGGCGCTCTCCAGTATGGTCTCTCATGTGGTAGCGCAAGCCTGAGGATCCTTTGAAGGCTTTATTACATTCTGTACATTTGTATGGCCGTTCAACAGTCTCAGCAGGAGTGGCAGTGGTAAAGGGAGGAATGATCTCAATGGTCTGTGGGCAGGTCACCTCTGCTTCTGTCTGAATAAGCTGTTGTTCTTCTGTGTGTGTTCGCTGGTGCATCAAAAGGTTAGAGAGCTGCACAAATGTCTTTTCACAGATTGAGCATTTATAAGGCCTCTCGTTAGAGTGTGTATATTGATGGCGAGACAACCCTGAGGCATTTTTAAAAGTCTTGTCGCATAATGTACAAGAATAGCTCTGATCATCAGCATGGCTCTGCTGGTGTTCAAGAAGCATCTCCTCGCTCCTAAAGGTTAATTCGCATGTGCCACACTTATAAAGCATCTCCACCGTTTCAATTTCGCTAGATGTTGTAAGGAAAACTTCAGCATCTGTTTGAACAAACGTCTGTTCAATTGCATGAGATTGCAGGTGCTTCTGCAGGAAATCATCTGAAATAAACACCTTGCCGCACAAGTCACATTTGTGCGTGGGCCCGTCGTTGTGTGTACGCTGGTGAAGCAGCAAGTTAGAGGAATGGGTGAAGGATTTGCCACATTCAGTGCACTTGTAAGGCCGTTCCCCTGTGTGAATCCGCTCATGTTGTTTTAAGTTGGTTGACTGTGTAAATGCTTTGCCACATTCTGTACACACGTAAGGTCGCTCTCCTGTGTGAATGTTTCTGTGGCGTCTCAAGCTTGAGGAATTCTTAAACGCTTTGTCACAGGTGTTGCATTTATAAGGCCGCTCTCCTGTATGTTGTCTCATGTGATACTGATAATGGGAGGACCACTTAAATGCCATTCCGCACACATTGCATTTAAATGAGCGAAATCCTGTGTGCACACTCTGGTGGATCTGCAGCAGAGAGGCGCGCTTAAAAGCTTTACCACAGTCCCCACACTTGTAGGGCCTTTCCCCAGTATGGCTTCTCTGGTGATAAAGGAGGGCTGAGGAGCCTTTAAAAGCTTTTGGACACTCTGAGCATTTGTAAGGTCGTTCCCCAGTATGGGTTCTTTGGTGATGTATTAATCTTGAAGACCATTTAAAGACTTTTCCACACTCGAGACACTCATATTGATGGCTGCTTGCTTCTGTAGGTTGCACCAGTGGCTGTTGTTGTATGGAAGATGCTTGTACCTCCAGTTCCTGTGCACCCACCATTTTAAAGGATTGCTAAGAGATAACGAAGAAAGAAATAAAGGTTATTTCCTACATTCTACTAACTAAATGATTGCCTATCTCCGGGCAGATAGAAGAGACACAAATTTATAAAGCTCTCCATGCATTAATACATCATTACATTTATTTTATTTTATGTGAGCAGTGTAATAGGGGTGCAACAACTAATCGACTAAATCGATTATTGAAAAAGTTGTCAATGTTTTCAATCATCGCTTAATCGTCTTCCGAATGGTTGGCCCTGTTCACGGCTCCACACACCCTCCCCACTTCACGCTCGCCGCTGCCAGACCCGCCCGCCCGCATCCATGCTCCACCCCTTCTCACCGCCCACATCCAAGATCGGCACAGGGACGCGGGAAGAAGAAGTAAGAAGGAGCAGGTGTTGGGGGATGACAGCCGCCTATAGACAGGCCCATCTCAGAAGCAAGTTGCTGGAAGACTGCCCAGGTAAGCCTGCACTTTCCCACACATGGTACTCTATAATGTATTGCTGGCATTTGTATTCCTCTATAGCTGATAGTACATTTCTGTATAATATATGGCACAATGTACCATCAGCTATAGAGGATTACAAATCCCACCAATACATTGTACACTGTATGTATAATGTATTGCTGGGATTTGTTGTATTCCTATATAGCTGGTGGTATTCTGCATTGCGCTGTATAGAGGACTACAAATCTCAGCAATAATACATTATACAGCGCAATGCGGAATACCACCAGCTATAGAGGAGTACAACAAATCCCAGCAATAATACATTATACAGTGGTGCAATGCAGAATACCACCAGCTATAGAGGACTACAAAACCCAGCAATAGTACACTATACAGCGCAATGCAGAATACCGCCAGCTACAATGTACTATTAGCGGGATTTGTTGTATTCCTCTATAGCTGGTGGTATTCTGCATTGCGCTGTATAATGTACTATTGCTGGGTTTTCTAGTCCTCTATAGCCAATGCCATTCTGCATTCATTGCTGTATAATTTTACACTTTTCATTTTACTATATTGCACACCACACTTTTTTTTTTTCTTATTTACTTCCACCGCTCAAAGCTTGCTCCTGTGATGGACTGCAATCTCAATACAAACTAGTAGTCCTATCAGTGGAGCCATTTTTAAAAATGTATTTTATTTTTTATCCGATCAATCGAATTTAATAATCGGCTAACTAATCGATTTTGAAAATAATTGTTAGCTGCATCTCTACAGTGTAAGTGCCTGAACTTGGCTTGCTATGAGTTACAATCCATTGTGCAGCAGAGGCCAGACTGGGAGAAGAGAAGCAACACAAGGAGCCTATCAGTAGTGCTGCAAGTTTGCTGCTCCTTAACTGTCCCGTCCTGAGTTTGGGAAGGGAGTAGACCGGTATATATTACTTAACTACAGTTACAATCAGGCTGTGTAAATCTCCCCACCATGAAAAGTAGCTAGGCAAGCTTGAAGTCTCCATCCTTCTGGAGATATCCGAGAATGCCAAGCACCTGAAATCTTTCAGGAAAACACTCCTGCACTGTGCTGGTGCATCTGCTTATGTAATTCAATATACATAACATTCCCCTGGATCTTGTTGCAAAGGTAATTTCACCCCCTGCACTATGGAAGCCAGGGGGAGGTAAGTTTTTTGTACTAACCCTTTTTCCCTACAAACTTTGTTCCTGATGTATCGGCATACTTCATGGCCGCTCCAGGTTTCATGGACCTCAACTCTATAGTCATGCCTCTGCCCCATCCCCTCCAGACCAATCATAAAAGGTAGCCTGGGGCTGTGTGTTTGGTGAATAGCCAAGAGGAAAGGGAGACAGAGACATGAAAGTAGCTGGGGTCTATGAGACCTACAGCGCTTACATCCCAGTGGGCCAGAAGTACAGCGGGAGCTGTAGTTCCCCAGCATTTAAATAAAGAATTTGCAAGATGTAGTAGAAGTATGCCTGCTTGACAGCAACCGGTTTCAGACGAACAAGAATATTTCGCTGTTGTAAAGCTGTGATGATAAATCGTGCCTGGCTTTAAAGCTGAACTCTGGGAAATAGAAAAATCCTCCCTTGAGGTAGGGCTCCCCCCACACTGTGAGCATTTAATGCTCATGTATGCCTATGGCAACCAAAAAAGGTATTTTACTTACCTGGTCCCCATTCCCCCAGCAGTTGGCACTCCCCTTATTTTCCCTACTCTCCGGCTTGTGGATTGTTTTCTATGCAGTCCCATGACCACAAAGCTCCGACTCCTCTGCGTGATGTGCATGTGGTGGGAGGAAATTCTCTCCTCCTCTGAAAACTTAAGAGTGATATCACTGCTCTATGGAATTCATCCCCCTTATATGCTGTACACATCATATAGAGGAGCCGGGCTGTGCGGTCACGTGACTGCATAGAGAAAAAAAAATGAAAAAAAGGCATTTCAATGCCGATTTATGTTAAATAGTATGCAGCACAATGAGGCGCAACTGGGCGGCAGATTACCAAAGGTGTGGTGTTATATTTCTTGAACTTCTACTATAAGTCTAAGAAAAAAATCCAAGAACATGCAAGATCAAGTCATTTCATTATACAAAATATATACAAGTCCATTTATGACATTTTGAAGGTTATTTGTTAAAGAGGAACTTCACTTCCCCCTCCCTTTAACCTTGACCACTGGGTTGTCCTCAAAAAACATACCCACATGCCCAGCGAACTTAGTGTTGTCTTGTGTAAGCCACTGATCTGTCACAGAACACTGGTCCTGCACCGCTATATTCCACCTGACATCATCAGAGGGTTGTCTCCTCCTGGTTCTTGCAGCTGTTCTCATGGACCCCTGATGATGTTCCATGTGCAGTGCTGTAGGAAAATTGCTGGAAGCCTTCAGGGATGCGTGATGCCAGTATTTGCCTAGGCAACAAAGCCGGAAGTATTAGGGGGGGCATGAGTAAATGATAGCCGATGATTAAAGAGAGTGAAGGTATGCTTTAAAGGAGAACTCTGGGCACAAATTTTCTAAACCCCTTCAGTGAGGCTGCATGGTAGCCCCACTGCAAGGGTTAAGAAAATGTATGCCCGGAGTTCTTCTTTAACCCCTTTGCGTCCCACTGACATACATAGCACATCATTGACAGCAAGTCCATTTGAACAGAATCCCGGCGGCCAAGCAGCTGGGACTCTGTTTACAATTGTAAAGCCGGCTGTGGACTTTATAATAGAAGCGATTCTGGCGGCTCAGCTGCCCCCCCAGTATCACCTTAAAGAGGACCTGTCACCACCATTATGCTACCACATAGGGGGCTTGTAAGCAAGTAAAAAAATAAAGTTTTAGAAAATATTAAATAAAAAATAATTTAAACATTTTTTGAAAGTTCCCCATGAGCATGTGCGACTTCGCGTAAACACGTGTCAGGTGTGCCTACATGCGAAAATGACAATCGCACTACACATGTTGGGTATCACTGCGCACAGAAGAGTGAGAGCAATAATTCTAGGGCCAATATTTAACCCCTTCACTAACCCTGATGGGATAATCCCACCATGAATCTTAAAGGGGTTTTAGCCACTGGGACTCTGTTTATACTTGTAGAGCCGATGGCCGGCTTTACAGTAGAAGCGAATCTGGCGACTCCCTTCTACGATCCAGTAAAGTGGACACCCCCGCCGTGTTTGCCAGGCTCCGCTGCCCCTCCTACGGGCCCGGCACTGGCATCTCGGGTGTCGGCAGGAAGCTGGGGAGGAGAGCGGTTAACGTCCGTTCACCGATCTCCCCGTTCTATGGGACCAGGAGGGACGTATATTGCATCACTTCCTGTCCCTGAGCTGTGTTTGCTGGGCTCCTAAACTTTTCGGTTTGATAAGTTGCGCTAATATCGTCAAACATAAAATTTTGCAACTTCCACCATTTTATTCTACAGGGTGTTGACTTTCAGAAAATATATAATGTTTGCGGATTTTAAGAAATTTTCAGGCCAAAAATGTGGATTGCAACATGTGCAAAAAACAGGAAAAAAAGGCCTTAGCAACGAAAGGGTCCTTATGGGGTTAAGTTAGGCCAATACACATTCAGTCAACCCGCAGATGCTGCAGTGCCCTTCCGTCCGTTTTTTTACTACGGGCGGACGGCAAGAGGTTAACTGGTGCAGACAAAACCTGGATTAGCTGTGCATGGCAGCCAATACGCTTCCAGCTTTCATTTTCAAAGCTTAACTGAACAAGCTAATTATAGATGCTGATTGGTTGGCAGGCACAGCCGGTCCAAATTCTGTCTGCTCCAGTTTTAGTAAATTCCCCCGTAGTGTTGATGTACGACAAGCCCTCCACAATGAGCAAAGCTCATTCAAAGCAGAACCTGTCAAAGCATTGTCTATGTACTGTCCACACTGATGATACAAGGGAGGACGCCTTGTTTGTACACTGACACGGCCTCAGGTGCTGATAGCGCTCCTTTCCTAGGACAGCTCTCACCGAGCCTACTAAGGGGTTATTCCACCTTGCTCCTGATATAAAGATTGATAACACCCCTCCCCTTCCTCCCTGTATGATGGGTGTGGACCTCCCTACGATGCTGTAACACCGAACAGATACTTGCAGGTTATGTGGCTGAACGGCGCTCCCGTCCTCCTCCTTTGCCGGTCTCAGGCCTGCATTCCGACGTCACAACCGCTCGCCGCGGTCGCTGGATTACGTCACATCGATGCGACATATGAAGACCCGGAAGCTGCTGTTCCGGGACTGGAACTCCATAGAAAGTTGTGCATGCTGATGAAGGGGGAGACGGGAGGAACGGATGCCATGCTGTTACTTTATATACGTTGAATGTATGAGCCACACGGGCTGTAAAGTTTTTCAATTACGGAGATATTTAAAGCATAGCTGTACTTGTCTAACAACTCCAGCTATCGCCCCCTGCCCAAACTAATCTGGGCCAATTCCCATCTCCTAGCTGCTTACCTAGGGTCCACTGTCGCCACATGCGTTGGGCTGCATTGTTCAACACGGCCAGATGCAGTCAA